TTTAACATCATTTTTTAACTTTGTTTTGGTCAATTTGATCGTCCACACCGATAGACAGTATTCAGAAAGAGACAGAGAGAGAGAGAAGAGGGGAGGAGTTGATCTTGCGAGAACTTCCGGGCGGGTGAGAATAGCCACTTTCTATGTAATGGATGTTTTTGCCGACGCTCCACAACATTCAACATGTGGATGGTGGCAGTACTGGCTTTCTAGATGTAAATCTTTATATTAGATCTAGATCTAGAAACTAGATCTACACCTAAAATGCCTTGCCTTAACCAGTCTATACTATACTATCCTGCCCTTGGCGCGACCAGTTCCCCATTTTTCCTTCTGTGCAGCTCGTGTGCAATCTGTTTTATTAGAGTTACGAGCCTTGTCTAGTTCCACTATTTTTCAAGGTCAATCCTTTTCCGAGAACGTCAGTCGTCTGCTAGTGCAGCAGTCGAGTTCGAAGTGAAAGGCTTATCGAAAACATTCTTAGAGAAGTTTTCTTCAGTTACTAAACTAGAGTAGCTGGCCCAACCCGCGACCACTTGTCTCTGTACCCTCTGTTATTAATAAGATAATTGTTTTCATCATGATTTGATAAAGAAATGGTTTTACTAACCTTTAAATGGTGTCCTACCAACTTTCTTGCACCTGTCATATCTGTGCGCGCATGGTCGCGCCCTGTTCCGTATGCGGTCGCGCCAAGGGCAGAGCATTAACATGTTAAAATGTGAAATCTGCGAATGACGTTTTGGAATGATTGACGATATCACAGTATAAACCAGAAGTTGACACTCTTAAGTCTTAAGCGGCCCTGAACATGGATTGCCTGACCTATTTTGCTGACAGAGACCGCTGAGAAGCAAAATACGACAAAAGTGGTCGCGGGTTGGGCCTGGTACTCTATACTACTGTACTGTGCCACTGTGCAGTGCAGTGCAGTGCAGTTCGTGGAGGTTTAGCCAGCCTATTTTCTAACTTGTTCCCGAGATGTTGCCGGGCGTTGCGGTGACTGTTAGATTTCTAGAGTTAAATCTCTGGACTATGGTGTTCTGGAAGAAATAATTAACTTGCCATTAACTTTACAGTGTCTACATACAATACACATGGTAACCGGGCACGTAGTCTCAGAGTCTACCATAGTAAACGGTAACCGGAAGGTCCACCCTCGTTCTTCACAGAAGTATCGTGTTACATTTGTGTTATGCGACTTGCCATGTTGTGGGTGCACTGTGCGACCTCCGACATTCTCCGATGTGTGCATTGTGCAGGGCCACCTTGTTTGACAATGGCCATTTCAGCTGCCTTTTTTTGTCTCTATCCAAATTCATAGTCAATAAGTCATAGACAACCTTGTCTAGATCTAGATACACGACTAGATCTTCTCCATCTGACCCCTACAGCAGGACTTTTTTAAAACCGGAATCCACTTTTTTCTACGAAGTGACTATTTCTCCGAACGTTTGGGAAAATAAAGTTGAACTCTTTCTCCGAACGGTTCCAGATCTCGAGATTTTGTTGTTGTTGTTATTTCAAGCGAGATTTAGGCGTCATCCTTTCATTTTTGCCCTTCTGCGAGGACTGGGAAGAAGCATTTTTGCGTCAAATTCAATTTCTAGAGCTAGAGAATTTTAAATGTCTGAATATTTAGATATTTCAGTTGTGGTTGGGCAACGTTCCTGGACTATACTTCATTTGAAAATAAAAAGATACTGCGAGAAAACAAGACTGCTCGACCTTGGCAGTAACCTATTTTGCATTTAGTCTCCCAGCAAAAACTAAACTCCTCCAGATAAAAAAAAAATTCCTCCTCGCCGCCCCCCCACCACCCATTCACACCTTACACACACACACACATGCACACTCACACAAACACACACACACACAAACACACTGGCCACTCCATTCGCTTATTATCAACAAATCTCGAGAACGGAAACCGTTGGGAGAAATAGAGTTCAAGTTTATTTTCCCGAACGTTGGGAGAAACAGAGGCGGCCTTTGTCCGATGTAAACTTAGTTAATAAAAGTCAATTACTTATGCTTGGGGTTAGTGGGGCAAAGAAAGTCCCGAACTGGGACACAGGGGGAGAGATGGAGCGAGCTGTATCTGGGGGAACGGGGTTGGGCGACAGGGTGGCTGTAGGTGAGCTCCCAACGGGCAGTCAGCGGTGCGGCGTTGTGATTGGCCAGTCCGG